GCCGGTCTCCAGGGTTGCGCGCAGGATCTGCAATTCCGTTCGGAGGCACGGTGAAGTACATCTTGGCCGTGCTAGACGTTGTCGGCCTGGAGCCCTGGGAGTTCGGCAGGTTGCCGTGTTAGACCCGGTGACGAAGCCGTTCGGCAGATTGGCGTATTGGGCGACGAATGCGTTCGGCAGGTTGCCGTGTTAGACCCGGTGACGAAGGCGGTGACAAGTTCGGCAGGCCGTGCGAAAAGCGTGAGCCGGTTTTCACTGATGGCTTAGATTGCAATGTGCAGCATAAGCCACCGACCTGATGGCACTACGCCAACAGGCTTTTGCGTTTCATGCCCTTGAGCCATGATCGTGAGTTAGGCCAGCAGAGCCTTTCATGGTCAATGTGAAACTTCACTGAGTGAATTTTCACAGGTGGGGTGTTGACCATTTTTACTCAATGGATAGCCTCTTTAGATAACAGGTTATCTGTACATGTGTTGAGTGATGTGAATCTTGCATGTGATACAAGGGCTCAAGTAGCTTTGTGGAGAAAGGGCTGCGCTTAACACTTTCGCACGCAGGCCTTTTGGATTCATGGGCATTGACGTCAGAAACCTCTTGGCTAGTCAAGTGGCTCGACCTGCTAGGGCAGGCGCTGAACGCCACCAGTGCAGAATGGGGTGACGAGTTCCAACCAGATTTCATTCTGCCGTGCATGCCCGACTCCCTTTCGTGCCCTATGTCCTATTTGCAAGCACTTGTGTGCCTTTGTTGGGCCATACAACTGCCTTGGTTGCCGGAGGGTGGCCAGTTAGTCACTCAACAAGAGGCCGGAGCCTTTACACTCCACAGCCTTAAGTGCACGTTACTCAGCGCTGCGGCAGTTGCACCTTCCAGAGAGCCAGAGATTGCAAGGCCATCACCGCCTTTCGTCCGCACTGTTGTACAGCAGAGACGACACTATAGAGGCCCTGTGGCTGCAACTGGAGCTGGCCCTGGCAATCAGGCAAGGGTGGCGCCCTCCTCGCCCTATGGTTAGAGGGGGGCAGCCCGGAACTGCTCAACCTCAAATCTTTGCCTTCCAGCATTACGCGGTTCCTCTATCTGTAGAGGGGCTGCTAGGCCAACATGTAGGCAGGGACGAAGAAGCCCTCGCAGTCGAACAAGCAGCCTTTGTGTCGTCCAAAGCCGAGTCAGAGAGCAACCGCCTCTCGCCATGCTCAGAAGAAGCAGGGCCCATCCGCCCAGGCGGTCAAGAGGTGGAGATCATTGGTGTCCGCCTTCTGCCCTGGGGAGCCGTGCACACACTGATGGACACTCATGCGCATTCAACCTCAAATCAAGAACCTCTCATTTGCAGTACAGGAGATTCGCCCAGACATGCAACTTTGTCAGCGCAAAGCCTGCCTGGCTCTGTTGGGAAAAGGGCCAATGCATTCATGTGCACATGCATACAGCCTCCGCAAGGGTCGAAACATTCTCTCCCAGGTCAGCGCAGCAGGTTGGCCGTGACGAATCCCAGGCGCGTTCGTGCATTGCTTGCCATGAAAGGATGTCAATCGCTTCAAAGGAGTTGCGTTCCGCCAACAGCTGTCTGCTCGCAATCAAGCTGGCCCTTTGGCTCTGCGCCGGGGGCCCATGGATAAGGACGAGCTCAACACCATACTCACCGATGCTCGGGTGCCCGAAGGCCTCCGCGATTTGGTGCTGGCCAAGGGTTTTGATAGCACGGTGTGTCAGGTGAACACCAGATGTTACCTCCAAACCGTCGCCTTCCGATGGCTTCCGACCTGGCATTGGCCTGACACACCAGGAGCCTTCCTGGGTTCCAGCATTGATTTCAAGGCCGCCCACAAACAAATCCAAGTTCGCCCAGACGAGCACGGCCTTCTTCTGTTCGCCTTCCAAGGCAGACTATATCACTATCTGCCAGGTGGCAGCGCACAGGCGCCTGCAGCCGCACAAAGCATTCCTGTTTGTGGATGATCTTCTATGCGCCCTGCTCCGCGCCCAAGCACCAGAGATGTTCGCCCTGGTGGCTTTGTTCTTCTGTGCTGTAGCCGCACCAATCTCCTGGAAAAAGGCACAGTTCCAAGATTGCCTTGTGTGGTGCGGTTGGGAAATTAACTTCGCCCACTACACCATCCAACTCATGCAGACCAAGCTGGTTAAGGTAGAAGAACTCATCGCGGCCCTCCTGGGCAAAAGAAAGGTCCTTCGCAAAACACTGGAGCAGTGCATTGGGTTGCTCATCTGGGCCACCAGCATAGCCCTGCATTTGCGATCCTGGATGGCGCCGCTGTACGCCGACCTGCGTAGCCCACCAGGCTCCATGCGCTCCATCCAGCCACAACTGTGGCCGGCCTTTCGAAAATCTTTAAATAAAGATTTGAAAATGAGCGTCGGCCTACCTAGCCTTTGGCTTTCGGCCGGCTCCAAAATTTTGGAGGTCGCAGGCAGCGCCGTGCGCTGCCTTGACGACATCCCACGCATTCCGAGACCAGCAAGCCTACGTGGGTTCCAACAACCCCTTCACCACCCTTTCCAAAGCTAGCCAAGCTTGCCTGCAATGGCTGGGGTCGTGTCTCAAGCACTCTCCCGTACAGCCTTTGGCAAAGCAACCCCGATTGCAAGCCTTGGCAGCCGCAGATGCCTGCGCTGAAGAGGAAGTCGTGGGCATAGGTGGTTGGGCAGTCACAGCCTCGCAAATGGTGTGGTTTGCAGAAACCTGGACTATGCAGGATGTCCGTCAAGTGTGGCCCTGCCTTGTCAAGCCGGCGCAGCGTTACATCGCGTGCTTCGAAACCCTGGCGCAGCTGGCGCTCCTCCAGGCTACGCATAGCCACATTGGAGGCGGGCGCTACTCTTTTGGCATGCCCTCTAGCACTGACAACTCGGCAGCAGAAGCCGGCATTAACAAGCTGTTTACAACATCTTGGCCTTTGCAAGTTTTTGTGCAGCTTGTCGCCTCTTGGGCGCATGCCAAAAACGTCCTTCTGCAACCAACTCACCTGCCAGGGCGCTACAATGATTGGGCAGACGATTTGAGCAGGAATCGCCTCGCGCGTTTCGCCCACCGCCCAGCCAATCGTGTGCGCTTCTGCCCTACCAGCCTTGCACAAGGCTGGAAGGGGCATCACACTTTGCCCCGCAGAGGCACCACGGCGCCCAGAACGTCTGGCATGTGTGACATATGGCTTGCTAGCCATCCGGCTTCAGAAAGCCAGTATGGCTTGCGACAGCGCCGCGCGCTCGCCTTCTGCATTTCGCACTGCGAGGCTTTTCCGCCGCCAGAATACCTGGCTGCGACGGCCGAGTTTGCGCACAAACTCCAAGCATCAGAAAACGAATTGATGAAAGTCGCTGCATTGAGGGTTCAGCATCTCGCCCCTTGTCCTGGGTGCACCGCAGTGCCCTAGGAAAGTGCCACCTTCCCAAGCAACCCGGTAAAAAGGTGTGCGCCTTGCTGTCGGCTTTTGGGTTCAGGGTTCTTTGTGGTTTGAGGCTAGGAGCAGTGCGCGGGACCTTTGACGCTAAAGGGTTTTCTTTTCCCTTGTGTTTATAGGTCGGGGGTGAATCTCCTACGCCGCCGCCATTTGGTGCTCCTAGCCCTCAAACTCACGTTTAGGACTCGCAGTCCTGGTTTCGTTTTGAAACTCACCCACCCGACCCTTCTAAGCCCTAAGCTCGCTTAGGCCTTCCGGACAGCCCTCCCCGCTGGGAGCCCTCCGGACATGAACTGGGAGCGCACTCTCAGCTTCATACCAGGGCCCAGACCCGCGGTCTGGCCCTGTGGGCGTCTCTGGACCCGCAGGTCCGTTGACGCGGGCGTGGGCACGCTTGCCACGCCCCCCGTCTGGCATTTTTAATGCAAGGACACGCTTGTCTTGCAACCTTGTTTTCCACAAGGGGGTGCACCGCAGTGCCCTAGGAAAGTGCCACCTTCCCAAGCAACCCGGTAAAAAGGTGTGCGCCTTGCTGTCGGCTTTTGGGTTCAGGGTTCTTTGTGGTTTGAGGCTAGGAGCAGTGCGCGGGACCTTTAACTCCAGCGCTTGCTTTTCTGTGGTTTTATCCTGGTTGAATCTTCGGCCGCGTTGCCATTTCTGCTTTAAGCCTTGTGGGGTCATGTTTCTTGCGGGCTTGCTCTCTTTTCGATGGCCACCTGCCACCAACCCTGTCACCGTCCCAGGTCGAGCCTTGGGTGACGGGAGCTCAGCACGCGCACGCATGTTTCACATCCTCGGATTCATTCCGAGTCTTTTTAGGTCAGCAGAATACGCCTTATTCAGTCTCTCCTGCACTGATGCACGCGTTGCATTGTGCCGCTAGGGTTGCATTGTGCCGCTAGTTGCGTACTTTTTAATCGTTTTTCACGCCCCAGCAGGTAACAAACCTACGGTGAAGGTCGAACACGCATTCTGGACCTGGGGGTATGCGTGCAAGCTCCGCACACACGCGTCGTCGATCTGCATCCCTGAGCCTGTTACCTCTGAGCAACACCTGACAACAAAGAGCTGAGCGCTAATTCGCACGTTGACTCTGTTTTGTGTTATGTCCCAGATTTGGCTTGAAGCAGTGAACAGGATTCTATCAGTGGGGTCAGCCCATATGGGCAACCACCAAAAAACACGAAAATGCTGTTCGAATGCTCACACATGTGTGGAACTTGCCCACGAAGGAGAAAGCACAATAGGCACGGAGCATAAAGTTAAGCGCAAACCAATCATGAAACTGCGGCTAAGCGCGCATTACCTCAGCACCTTGCTTTTACGCCTGCGACTTCGCAGAGATGGAGAAGAACCTGCTTTGTGGAGGGTTGCGCAAAGCCGAATGCAAAAGCGCTAACAATCCCCAAATTTTCAACTCTGTAGGTTTTCATAAGAAGTGGGACAGGCGTTGTAAGAATTTTACGGACTTGTGTCTGTGTTGATTCTCCATTTGCGGCCCTGAGATGCTTGCAGGAACTTGCAGGAGGTTCCAACACATGGGCAAGCACAACAGCACTGAGCCAAAGTTGGGTTGAACCTTGAACGGTGGAGTGACTCATCCATGCGGCCATGCCGCTGGTTATGCCAGCACTGCGCAAACCCTACACGGTGGAGGAGGCAGGTCGCATGAATGTCTCACAGATCGGGAGCAGCCATGCTTTGACTGTGTGCACATGAAGCACCGCACGCTTGATGGTCAGTGGGAAACAACACCCACGCACCAAGGGACCCAGCCCCAAAGACGCTCCCTCAACAAGATGGGCAAAATGGGCCTGTGAATGCCAAGGTCAATTTGGGGTACATCATCTGAACGTTTGGGTGAGGGGCTCCCGCAAAGGTTTGGGAGAGTTCGTTGCCAACGTAGTTTTGTCTCGAATAGATCACCGGCCATGTAGATCCAAGCAAGCCGCTGTCAGCTCTCCAGGCACATTTTCCGCGCCGATTTTTTTTTTGGGTTTGCATCTCTTTTGTGCAGCATGGGATATGGTTTGGGTCCCAGTCCAAAGGCTTTCGCGAGCCGTTGGACTGGAAACGGCTGCCTCCGGTCCATAGACCTGGTTGAATGTTCGATAAGAGTTCCTGGCCCTTGGAATGCAACTGGCGCAAGGTTATGAAGCACAACACTCCTTCGTCTCTCTGGGTCATCATGAACCGCAAGGCAAGTGGGGGCCAGAGAAGGAGATCTGCCGGGATTTCGGCGCTTCGTGACTTCCGAGTTGAGATCATTTGGATGTCAAAGGGAAACGCAAGGCAAGACTGACACAATTCCCCCGCCCTCCCCAAAGACCCTACCAACAGTCGAGGTCTCTGGCAGGAGGAGTTGAGGGCAAATCTCAGTTCGGTGCTGAGTCGGAGCCCAAGCTCCACTCTCGGTTCCAGAGTCTGAGGGGGTCCGGGATTGGGCCTATCCTGTTTCCGGGGGTTGCTTTCGCTTCAACTTGTTCGTTGGACACTTTTCTTCTTCTCGTTTTTTCCCAGCTGAAAGCTTTGGGGTCTCGGCCCAGATAGGCTGCGGGGTGGTCCGGGGCGGCCCTGGTAAGGTTCCACGAGAGTTCCAGGGTTCTACCAGGGTTCCACCAGGGTTCCATGGTTCCACCAAAATTCCACGAGGTTCTGCGGGGTGGTGCGCGCACTAAAAAGAGCACCGCATGCTGTTGGGGATATCACCTGAGCTTTTGTTTTTCTAGCGCCACCCCTCAATTGGGTCCTGAAGCTGCAATTGGGTCTATCATCCTTTGAGGCTCGGTACGCTGGGGGTTGCACCAGGGAATCGGGGTTTGAACCCACCGAAGCTTGAAAAAGCCCACACCCAGTGGATTCCAATTCCCTTTTGGTGTGCTTGGTTTTCTTACCACAAAAATTCGAGGCTCGGGGGGGGGGGGGAAGTTTCAAGCATGTGTGTGTGTGTGTGTGTCGAGGGAGCCCGTTTCACCTTGGTACGAAGGGAAAGCAACAGACACCTCCAGTTTTGGGCAAAGTCTCCCCCCATTTGTGGCACTGTTTGGCTTCCCTTCAAACGGTACGGCCAAGTGTGGGGGTCGTCAAAAGGTTCTCTACGTGGGATGACCATTGGTTGGAGAACCATTAAAATATTTTTTATCCACTAACAAATGTGAGATTTCAGCTCGTGGAGAAGTTACCCATGGTCATTGTTTGCCAAAACACCAGGTGGGTATGGGTCAAAATTAAACCACCGGGGGACCACAGGTTTTAGTCCTTGTTTCCATTTACCAGGGTGCCATTTTGGGTACGCATTTTTGACCCACAGCCAGGTCTACGACGTGACTGCCTTCCACAAGAAGCATCCGGGAGGGCCAGGCCCCTTCGGAGAACAGCTTGCTGGACGGTTTGGTCAGGATGGCTCCGGCGGAAGAAAGTGGCACTCCTGCAACCCCAAAACCAAAAGGTACCCTGGAAAAGCCCCGAAGCCACCTTTTACCCAGGTCCCCCAGCTAGGTTTCTCGCCCCTTTTTTGGTTGGGAGGGTTCCCATAAAAACAGGGGCACTTTCAAACCATTGGGCGATTTAATCCGGCTGTGGGCCAAAACCAATGGTACCATTCTGGGGTAGGTGCACCATTTTGGAGATTTTGAACCATGGCCATCAGTTTATGGGCGCAACATTATGTTTCTGCTTCTTATGAGCACAGCATGAAGGCCTTGCAGACCAACGGATGACCAACGGATGACCAACGGATGACCAACGGATGACCAACGGATGACCAACGGATGACCAACGGATGACCAACGGATGACCAAAAGCCACAGACTCTTTGGTGGACATCAACAAACACGGTGGAGCAACAATCAAAATCTGTTTGAACCCAGAAAAAGACCTGCTCAACAGTGAGGGGTGCCAATTTGCTTCCAGAAGGACAATGCACCTGGGTAGACCGCGAAGTGCGTTGTATGATTGAAGGGGTGCATGAGCCTTAAAGTACATGGCATGTTTCTGTCATGCGTCATGTTTCTGAGTGGGCGGGGTTTCGGGGTCGGTTGGGAAGTTGGGAACATCTTGGACCAAACAGGTAGCGAAACTATGGTAAATCGTCCTTACCCCCAAATCACGCATGGAAGTTGAGTGTCTTGGCCCTGCGCACGATATTTCAGGTGCGGGAGGTACGGGTCCCTCTGTGGGTACCTACCGGTGTGGGTGTACCTGGATCGACAAGTCACTGCTCTTCTGCATTCCCCTAAACAGGGCTCCTTAAAAGATCTCCATTTTGACCATTTGAAACATGTTGCTTTTTTCCCACCAACATAAAGGGTAATGTTCAGGTGTATAATGTCAGGATCCCTGCTAAGCCAGTGCTGGGACACCAGAGCTGGGGATCCCTGCGGGTCCCAAGGGTCTGAAGCCGCAGGTGTCTTGCTGCAGATGGGCGGGAAGGACGCCACCGCCGCGGCGGCGGCGGCCCACAAGAGCATCCTGCCGGCCAACCTCATGTGGGAGTTCTGCGTGGGCTACATCGTCAGGCGCGCTTCAGGGGAGTTCATCTCTGGGTGGCGATCAGCCAAGCGAAGTTTTATGTTTCTTTGAGCCAAGGGTTGGGTGTTCCTCAAGGGGTGGGTGTTCCTTTGAATGACCTTGGAAACGGCACGCTCACATGAAACCAGACCCACATCATGGCCGCATATCACGGTGGGAATCAGGAGGCCGAGTTCTGCGGTGGAATCGCACAGAAGTGGGGGCATTTCTACAGCCCCGTCGTGATGCAGTTTTCAAAGCCAGATGGGCGGAGGGTAGAGGGAGACTCTAAACAGTCCGAGTTTTTTGGTATTTGCTGGGAAACCAAAGAGGAAGGGCCATGAATTGTGGTTTCTTCACTGTTGAGTGGGCAACCTTTGAACCTTTTGGGGCGCTTGTTCATCGTATGTAGAGCCAGCAAGTTCGAAGTTTTGGGCAGAACAGCTCAGGAAGTTCAGTGGTAGCTGAATTGGGCCCAAGAATGGTTTTCCGTAAATCAGGTAGAACGACAGCATCAATTGTTGGTTCAAATCCCAGAACGGTGGAGCATGTTGATTCTTTATCTTGGTTCCAGTTGTCTCGAAGCAAAGAGGACAGCAAATGAATGATCTCGGCCTTTCTGCAGTTGGATGGTCGTACACGGCACACCCCCCATTTTGGTTTAATCTCTTCGCCCAGGATTTGAGTCTCTTAGCCCAGGACTTGGTGCTTGTCATGGCTTCCGATTTCCTTTGGTTTCCCTTTAAGACCAGCTCTCCTCCCGTGTCTTCGCTGAGGGTGAAGCCCCAAGAAGAGGAGAAGAAGGTGACGAAGGCGGATTTTTGTTTGCCGGTTTCGGGGTTTGGGGACTACGACGGCCGAGGTTTTGTGTCAGAAGGAGCCACCGCGCGCGCGTGCTGGTTTTCCAATGGTTTCCTTTTAATGAGCCTGAGGGTTCCCTTACACTGGGCTCCTGTGCATGACAAAATCGATTGCATCCTTGGTGAATTTCACTCATGGACGTCGCAGTCATGCATGATACATCGGGTACAGTTGCGGGTCTGGAAATCCAAGCCAAAGCCCATGGTGGGTTGCGCCAGGCATGCATCCCCATAAACAAATCTGCCCCACCAGTTGGTAGATTTCATTTTCAGGGGTTCCAAGCCCTACTTGAGCGGACATTTTTTTTTTGGGGCATCATTCTTCAGTTGTTTGCAGGTTGCGCTCATTTCATTGCGGCACTGAATCACTTCTTTCCCTTCCGACTTTTGGGTTTCCGCATTTTTTCGCCTCACGTGCAAAGCAAGACCGCACGTGTCGCAGTCTGGTTCTAACCCTATTGGGTGTGGTTTCCAGCTGGTTCCCCACCCTATGGTTGGCTTTTTGTGGTTTCCCCTCCTATGGTTGCTATGGGTTTCCTGGTTACCCCTGCTCCCTCCCCCTTTTTCTCCTTTGTTTTCATTTTTTTCTATGGTTCGTTTCCCTCTATGGCTACTATGGGTTTCCCTCTCCTTTTATTTTTTATTTTTTCTCCTTCTTTCAAGCGCGGTCGGTTTCCAGCTGGTCGTTCCCCCCCCCCCTCCCCCGCTGGCGCACCAAACCGCCGCTTCTTAGGCGAACTCCGCCAGCTCAGACCCCGCGCCCAAGGCGCAGGCGCGGCGCCCCAGGTCTTCGGTTCCTCGGTGGAAAGGTCCGAACCCACGCGGGGAGCCGCTGGGTTTCGATTCGCGCGCGAAATTTTCTTTGGGGTGTGGCAGGCTTAACAAATGTGAGTTTTTTGTTTTGGTTGCTTGGGACATGTCCAAGGATTGCTGTGGGTCTGCATTGGGACATGTCCAATGCTTTTTGTTTCGTTCCCTAGGATGTGTTTCGAAATTCAAAGGACGGCACATGGACAGCTGGCTGGTAAGCTCAGTTTTTCATATTCGAGATGTTCTAGCTGGATCGATCGTCAGCTCTGCAGGTGTCTCCCGTTTTAGCGCAGTGGAAGGGGAAGCCAAAGGAAAGCCGAAGCCGCATTTCGGTGGCAGCACATGGCGTGCTTTTGGTGGCCATTGTTTGTGAGTGGGCAGAGATGAAACTTGCCCCCAGACGGGTCAATCCAACCAATTAGTCATGGATCCCTACAACATCCTACAACAAGCGCCACTGGCCCCCCTGAAACTACCCCTTCAAAGAGCCTTACTGATTACCAAGGCTTACTGAGCCACACAAACCTTAATTATCAAGGCTTGCCAAGCGCCTTAGGGGGGACCCTGCGTGACATGCACTATTGCTAAGGCTCACCTCAAAGCTTTTGAAGGGGTGGTTCCATGAGACGGCGGTGGTTTCATGAGAATTAAGGATAGGATGTTTTGACATGCACCGAGGTGAAGAAGCAAAAGAAAGCAGGCCATCCGCGAGAATCGTGCGATCTATCTCTTTGCAGCTTTTTCCGACATTTGGGTGTGTCTTACAAAAAAACCCTTAAAAATGGGGTTTTCCTGTTGGTTTTCCGTCCAAACCACCAAACATGGGGAGTACCACTCAAAACAAGGGGAAGACTCGTTTTCGGTTTGACTGGTCGCGATGCTTTGGGTTGACTGACCCTCAACAAAGGAGTGGCACGTGGAGACAGCATCTAGGCACAGGTCATCTCTTTTTGACCACAAGACAGATGTAAACCCAAGGTGGTTGATTTCCAAAGACACTCAGCATTTGAAACAAACAAATCGGAGTTTTGGCCAGCCACAAAAAAATGCCGCCGATGGCCGATAGTCCATCTTTGGTCTGGACACGTGTCTGTTGAGCGCTCCTCCCGCTTTCCATGCAATTGGGGCCAACTTCGGAAGGACAAAACCAGAACGAGTGGAAGAAGAAGCAGTCCATTTGTTTTCAGAGCTCATTCTTTTTGGTCTTTCTGTCACTATGCTGGCCCAGTTTGGTCGGTTTTGGCTACGTCACGAGTTTCCCATTGGGAGGGTGGATGTTTGAAGTGTCCTTTCCTTGAATCTCTCGCTTGCTCCTGCCAGCAGCGGCGGAAGAACAACAGGCGGGCTGGGTGATTCAGGGTTCCACTTGTGCCGCGTGGAGAATGCTTGGGGTTTGGGCCTGCACACATTGCATTTTTGTGACCTTGACTCACCCACCTGCTATGATTTAGTTGCACAAGCCCAGCGACGATTGTTGCTCTTCACAAATGCTTTGCAGCGAGAGGACGGACTGCGTCCTTGCCCTGTTGCCAGGTTTATTGATTTGGGGGCAACATTATGGGCAGATAATAGCTAAGTGACTGGCGGTGCTGGAGCTTACTTCATGGTGCAACAAGCATGGGTTTGTTTGCGGATGGGGGTAGCCCCAAAATGGCGGTCTGGGTTTGCTTTAGAACAACCCACAAAATTGTACCCTCAATTTTCGCACCGTCCGGAAATGTTTTTTTTTTCTTCTTCTCTTTTTTTTCCCTTTCCCTTGCTTGCAAGGCTGTTTTTTGCCGATGAGTTTTGGGCTCCGGTGCGGCAATCCTTAGTTGGTGGTTTGGTTGCTTGGGATTTGAACCCGGTTTATGGGAACCAAACATGCAAACCCCATCGGGTTCCAAGCCACCAAACGAGGGAAGCCGCCCCTTGAAACACTGCTGGACTTCAGCTTCGGCGTCCGCTTTTCAAAGGCAGGTCAAAGGCATGACATGGAGACTCAGGCACCATGTCCGACCAGTGGAAACACTGCAAAAGTCAATGCCCTGAGTTCCTTGCAGGTTTCGAATGGAAGGTTCACAGGGATCCCTTCGCACGTCGAGAGTTATCAAAAGTGCGAACGTCTCCCCACCTGCAGGCTGACGCGGCCGACCGGGTCGAAGCCCTACCTGGTGGCTGTCGATTGCAAAACAGATGTTTCAGCAGCCCTGGGAGAACGCAAACGGGGCACAAGGACGCAAACAAGTTTGTAAGGTCACAGCAGATCTAGTCTAAGGAGCTGTTAGCTTATTGTAATACTGTGGATGGACGAAATCCATTTCGCACCACCTAAGAAACCCTGGAACTGTGTTTTCCTTGTAAATAGCAGCGAACAATGGTTTCCTGTGGTGCAGGATTTCGTCCATCCACAGTATTGACAAGAATGTGATGTGGCCACGCCTGCGTCGCTGAGCGGCGGATGCGCATCGAAGGAAGCGATCCTAAGAAAGCTAGCTGCGATGGGGCGATCCACTGGAGGTCCCCCACAAAGCACTGGAAAGGTTTCTGTGCTTTGTTGAGGTTGCCTTCTTCCGGGTGTGTCAAAGCGAAGCCAAAAAGGAAAGAGACGCACCCTTAGGTGGCCCTGATTCTGGCAGATCCACATGCCTGAAAGACATTGAAGCTTCTGCCAGCTGGCAGTTGGCTGGCGCCAGTTCGACGCTGCATGGATCCGGGGGTATTCGACGCCACCCAACACCCAAAGAACACCCAGGCGTTGTTGGTTCCTTGGGGACTGAGAGGGGGGTGGCCCTTTGTGGCCCTTTCGGCTTCAAAAAGCGACCGGAAAGCGGCGCCATCGGATGAAGGAGAAGCGGCGCTCGCCTCCCGCCTTTGTGGCGGATGTGGCCTGGCCGGCGCGGATTTTGGCAGTTGGATGGATGTAAAGATCTGGTTGATCAATATGCCATTTAGGGCCCAGAAAATGACCATTGGGTTTTGCCAATTTAGTGGGACATATCGCAATTTTGTGGTTTCATCGCAACGGTCATCCGCCCATCTACAAGAGTTTCCTCTACCCCCCCCCCTCACCATCCACTGAGGAAGTGGGGGAAAAGAACACCACACCCCTTAGTTGTTTTGGGAGAAAAGGGGGCAGAGGGTGAGGAGAGGAAGCTTCTGTGATGGTGCTTCTGGCTTGGATCACAAGGATCGGCATGGATGGCAGAGGGAGATTTGATTTTTGAAGCAACCCAAACCCCTCACCCAACCTCCTCACCCCCCCTCCCCCGGGCCCATTTGAATGATGGACCTATTCACCCGCTTCACCGCCTCGGCCAGGAAAAGATTCTCAGCCGCCCGGTCACCGCCTCACAGATGAGGTCTCAGGACCGGGATGTGGACCCAAAGAGAGCGGTAAGGGAAACTTGCGACCATTGGTGAGAACGCGCCTCGTGGTGATGGCAAGCATGTGGCTGTGGGTCGAGTCTAAACCAATGGGATCCCATTTTGGGGTTAGGTGAAATCACCACCCATTTTAGTCTACTTTAGCGGGGATTGGGATGTTCACTGGGGGTACGGGATTTTGACCCATGACCATATTTTGAGTGAGAGCACAACTCCTGGTAGCCATGTTCAAATATGTTTCGTTGCAGCTTTGCTGAGGTCGCTGCCAACGTCATGTTTTCTTCAGGAAGAGGCAATGTAATTAAGAACTACCCTTCCGGCCAATATGGCAAATCCCAGGCCAATGTAAATAATGTCAGCGAGCGATTAGTACCCCCCCCGACTAAATTGAAGCGCCAACAAGGTTTGCACAAAAAACCCTACCCAATATTTTTTCGGACCTCCTCCAACACCCCCCCTGATTAAAGGTACCCCTGCAGCACCCAAGCCAGGAAACCTGCCAGGGCTTAGTCTGTGCTTAACCCCACCAATACCAACCCCTCAAAAATGTGCTTCTCCCAAAATTCATTTTTCCTCATTGATTTTTGTGTACAATGACAAGGTGTTTAGGCTCACAAAGAAAAACCCTTTTGGCGGCCAGCCGCTCCTCATTAACAGAAACCCCCCGCAATGAATCAGGGCCCTTTTGGGCTACAAAACCCCAAACAAAAACACTGATGTTGCCTTTTAAAGTCCTATTGCCCAGAAGGGGCCAGAAGTAGACCGCTCCAGGGCTCCCAACACAACCCCGTTCTTGGTCGAGATGGTTGGTGCATTTGGGCCAAGTTTATGACAAGGTCTGGAGAAGAACAACGGGCGAAAGGAGGAGGTTCTTGACTTGCGGGGTTCCTTGTTTCCGGAAGTTATTGCACGTGATTGCAGATTTGGGGCGAGATGCCGAGAAGGGACAGAGGGCCTGATTGTTGGGAGCATCCATCTCAGCAGCCGATGGTCAAAGTGAGGAGAGAAGATGCTCAAAAGAATCAGCTCAACTGCTCTTTTCCTGCCTGGACAAAGGAAGCTCGGGAAAAGGATCATTGGCAATCCGCTGGATTGCCCGCTGATGTCATTTAGAGAATCTGCTCAGCAAAGCCACTTATCCTTGAGGGCAGATCACGCCCGTGAAGACCAAGCCGACCAAACCCACTGCCAGCTCAGCAACGCAAAGGTCAGCAGGTCAGCAAGGTCGTATGACTAATTCTCGATCGACACGAATGTAGCAGATCGCGGGAGCCGTGGCCAAACAGAACAGCAAGGCCTCTCTTGCCTGTCAAAGGCCAAAGAAGCGGCACGCAGAGAATGCTCGGTTTGCCCTTTGCCTCAGCGTCATCGGGGTCCTCGGAGACTGTGCGCGGGCTCTGGCCAGTCGGCCTTTGTGAGTTGCCAAGCGATGGCTTTGTTGGGCTGTTGCGACCAGCTGGCTGTCTATTCACGGCAGATAGCAAAGGAGCCAGCAACAGAGTTGTAAGTTGCAAGCATTTTGTTTAACGCCTCGACTCGGACGTCCACAACCTCCCCGGCCGGCTGCCTGCGAACAAAGCCGGTGACAGCATCGTATATACTGAGCCTACAACAAATCCTGGGGAGCTTGAGCCGCCCAAGTTTTCCATGCTAACATAAGAGCTACTATGCTTTGAAGTCCCCCACAAGCCATTCTACTTATTTAGGCTCGTGGTTGAACCACAGGAAATCTGAGCGTCCAAAACCCCAACAAGTCCCACTTCCTGGTTTTACTTGGGGTACAAGCCTTCATAACCATGTCTGGCAAGCCGAAGTTGCTGCATCCAAGTGGGTATGGGTCAAAATTAAACCACCAGAGGACCACAGGTTTCGGTCCATGTTTCCACTTGCCAGGGCAAGCCATTTGGGGGTTCCCCTATTCTTGACCCACCCACCCAGTTTTTGTTGAGCCGAAAAGCCACCCTCCGCGCGCACTCTTCGCGGCGTCTGGGTCAGGACTCCATGGAGAAGCTGAAGTCCAAAGCACAGGCTTCCCTTGGCGCACACATGGCGGTGGTCAAAACCCAAAATTCCGTAGCCCCAGTGAACATCCCAATCCAACCACGAAAAGAGGTTTTCTAAAATGGGTGGTGCATTCACCTATCCCAAAATGGTACATGGCTGTTTTCAAGACCGTTTGGGTTGATCTCGTTTTGGGTGGTAGGTGAATTCACCACCCGTTTTGGAACCTATTTTAGTGGGCATTGGAATGTTCACTTGTGTCTACGGAATTTTGGATTTTGACCCATGGCCAGCTAGGGCTCCTTATCATTAGATGAGGCCAACGGCTTTAGAAATTGATCGGTGTCTAGATCCCCAGTTGCCTGAAAAAATATTTTCCAGCTACTTTGACCAAATTCTGGGCTAGTGGGTAAAGTGGCTGGACCAAAGTGGCTACGGGTTCCAGGTTAGATGAGGCCCACGGGTTTGGACGTTGGTTCTGTTTGGGTTTCCGCTTCAGCCCACTAAAAGTTACTCACTCACTTTTAGCCGGGGAGCTGAGGACTGCAGACTTCCTATTCCAAAACCGGTCCCATATGGAGACTCTTTTTTGATTTCGAAGTTCCTTCCCAGGGTTCTGTGAAGTTTCCTAAGGGACGTAGTGGTCAGCGTTGATAACGAATTAGTTCGCAGTAGGTCATTCTCCAATTTTTGTTGGACCAAATTTGGCAAGCCGCAACATGTCACAGGATCATTCATCCGGCTGAGGGAGGGCGCGGGTGCTCGTTTCTCTCTAATGAGACGAATCTAAGTAAATAAAACATGTATCTTTCCTGCAAAGGGGCCGGTATCCCTTCGGTCTTTTGAACCGGTTCTGAGGGAGAGAGCACCCTTGAGACTTCCAAGCCGATTCCCAGAGGGGAAGGAGGGCTGGCTCTCACCTTGCTTTTGGCTGCTTTCACGGAGAGGTTCGGTTCGGGGGGCTTATTTCGGACATCTCCCGTGAGGTTTCAAGATGCAAAATACGGGGAGCGCGCTTTTTTTCTTCTCCATGGAATCCACAGGTCTAGGGCAGACTCGTGTCCCTCAGGGCGACATGATGCCGCACAGCGACGGATCGCCCCCCGCGGAGGCGAGGGAAGCGCTTCGCTACATTTACCAGGGACATAGTTTCTGCGTCTTTCTTTCGGTAGGCACCTTCTTTGGGGAAAGGGGAAGAAGCCAAAGGTTCCTTTTTGGGTCCTGCTTCTTTCCGGTTTCCTCAAGTTATTCGTCGAGGGGTGGGTCCAAAGGCGCATGCGGAGCAAAATGTCAGATGGCCTGTCGACTCGGGAGGCTCTTGAAGAATTTTATGTTGGCCAGTGCCCAAAATACCCTTACCAGGCTTCCCTTCAGTAAGTCGGTGGGTTTCGGATGTATCCTTGAAGGAGCCCTATTCGAAGCCGCCCTCCCGAGATCCAGTCAAGCCGCCCTCAGATCCAGTTCCATCACGCATTTCCAAGTACACCAACCGAGCCCTGCCGGAGTTCCCTTTTCTTTTTACCAACCTCGAACCAAGCCTTTCAGTCTTGGTTCTTTACCATGGGCTGTGGGCAGAGCGGCAGACCCAAAAAAACACCCCGGTTCTTCGACCATGCCTGCGCCAAACTTCCCGCTCTCAAGTTGGCAAACCTGGTAGATCCCCTGCAGCCTGAAGAAGAGATGTCCGGTTTTGGCCTTGGGCGCTCGCCAGGATGGCAAGCTGGAACGAACCTTCACCACCATCATGGAGGAGGCAGGGTACAGGGTGCCTTTCCTTTGGGTTCCCAAAATCACACAATAGATCCAACCTTATGATTCACGGTAAACATACTTTGCCGTTTCTTTTCGTTCCTGTCTATTTTATTGTATTTGTATGTCTTATTTATCTTATCTATCATATCTATTATATGTACCTTATCTACGTTACCTACCTTGTCTTTTCTTAGCATATATTATCATGTATTGTCGTATGTTAACGTATCTTAGCCTGCTTTATCCTATCTTCTCCCGTCGTATCCCATCGTATCCTATCTTATCCCGTGTTACCCTATCGTATCCTGTCTTACCCCATCTTATCATATCTTATCCTCTCGTATCCTATGTATCTATCTATCAATCTACCTAGCTATCCTATCTATCCTATATTTCCTATCTTTCCTATCTGTCTCCTCATGTATAGCTTATCTATCATGTCTATCCTCTACCTTATCTGCCTTGTCTATCCTATCTTATCCTTTATCATGCTATCTTGTCCTGCTTTATCCTATGTTATCCTGCCTTACCCCATGTTAGTCTATCTTACCGTGTGTTGTCCTATCTTATCCTAACGTATCCTATCTTATCCTATGTATCTATCTATGTATCCATCTATCTATTGGGCTAAAGCGTTAACCGCAGGTGGTCGCTTGTCTTGACTCTTAATAAGTATCCACTTGGGCCACCATTTTGGCTCAAGTGGACCTTTTGATCTTTTGTCTTGTGATTTGAAATCTTTCTTTCCCCTACTCTCAAAGCCATGTACGCCCCCGCCTACGCTGGTGCCGCGGTAGCAGAGGCCAAGGCTAAGGCAAAGGCCTCCATGGCAAAGTACCTGGCGAGCCTCGTGAAGAGGGAGGAAGAAGGATGGACCGTTTTGGCTGCTGAGGTCCCTCAGGCACCTGACGAGCGTTTCTTCTCCAGCGCAGATGAGCTGGAGCAGGCCCCCCTTATCCCGGCCAAGCGCAAGGCAGAGGATGAGCCGATGGAAGATGCAGCCCCTGGGGTGGCGCAGGTGCCGAAGGCCCTGACACGCCCCCCAGGGGCGTTCCTGGAGCTCCTGAACCCGCCGGAGGAGGACGTGCCCATGGAGGAGCTCCTGGCGAAGGACGAGAAGGAGCTGCCGATGCCCAGGTCCCCTCGGCTGCAGCCCGCTTGGAGGAGGCCCGCCTGGATGCCCGGGCAGACGCCAAGTGGCAGAGGCGCCGGGAGCTGATGGCGAAGGTCAAGGAGCAGGCGTCCTCGGAGGAGGATGAGAACCCCGCAGCCCCCCCGCCGGGGGGAGCGTGTTCACCAAGGCCCTCAAGGTCTCGGAGGGCCTCTACCAGTTCAGCGACGACCAGATGGCGGGCGACTTCCCTTGCTTCGATGCGACCACGGCCACTAGGCTCCGCCGACTGCAGGCCAAGGACGTCCAGCGGCTCCTGCGAGGCTTTGAGGGCCCCCAACTCAAGCAGGGGGGCCTGGAGCGCGTTGTGGAGGCCTTCTACATCGCCAAGATGAAGTACGAGCATGAGGCCCGGCTCAGCACCCCGGGACAGCAGGTTGGCAAGCGCGCTGGCTTGGGGTACGGGGGCCTGGAGAACCGCCCCCTGGGCAAGGTGCCCACATCCTGGATCTGCCCCTGCTGCACCATGCCCTGGGTGAAGAAGGGCGCCACGAAGTGCATGGGGTGCGGCAAGAAGACGGAGCCCATTGACACGGCGACCAACTCGGCCACCCTGGAGATGGCGGGCACGCATTGGCAGTTGACGGTGGATGACCAGGGCAATGCGGTCTGGACGGCGGCCCGGTCCGCGGGTGCCGAAGGCCCTGACACGGACCGGGCCCGCGACCTCAAGCTCAGTGCCTCGGTGGACGTCAGCGAGCTGGCCACCGACCCGATGGCCTGCGAGAACCCGGACCAGGCCAGCTTCTCGGACTTCGTCCCCTCCTCGGTCCGGGCGGTGATCAGGAACTGCCCCATGGAGCTGGACGAGGAGTTTCTGACGGCCCCACCGGGGGAGAGGCCCCCATTGCCAGGCGACAAGGAAGAGGGCCAGGAATGCAGAGCCTTCCACCCGTCTGCGGTGAAGGCCTTCAAGATTCAGACCCGGCTCAACGCCACCACCATCGCCCAGGAGGAGGCCAAGAAGGCGGACCAGGTGGAAGCGGTGGAGCGCTCCGCGGCGGTCCTCCACGAACTTCAAGGGGGGGCCATTGACGGAGGAGGTGATGGAGGCCTGCTCCTGAAGAACCTGGACTTGGACCTCTTCCGTGAGAAGCTGCTGGACAAGCTGGGTGCGGACTGGGGGAGACCCACACCGGAGCTCCTCCAGGCCCAGACCACTGCGGAGGAGGCGAAAGCGAAACACCAAGCCAGACAGGCGAAGGGCTCCCTCGAAACCAGAATGCTCGAGCCCATCGCGCCTCCCTTCAGTGCGTGGCCTAGTGAGGTCCGGGTCGCCATTGAGACTGGGGTCTTCGAGCCGACAACGGCATGGAGGGACTTCAGTATGGACGACCTCACATCCCTCACGGACTCCTACCTTGAGGCCAAGGCGGTCATCTCGCTGGGTAGGAATCCCTTCCCGGCGGCCCTCCGGTTCCTCATCAGTGCCCGAGGATGGGGCTCGGAGTAGATGAGGATGGTCAGCCAGTGGATGGCATGGAGGCAGTCTCCAACCATCGGTGCGGTGGTCTTCTCCTCCGTGTGAGCCTGGATGTGTGCGTTTGCTCCCCCTTTTGAGCCATCATAGATCGTCCTGATCTTGTCCGACTCATCAATCCCTGCAAGGGGGCCCGGGCAAAGTTCCTCCGGTTTGCAGCGGCACCTCTCTGCCGCCTCGGAGCGAGTGAAGGGCCCGTCCACCATGTCCAAGGCTCGTTCCTCGTAAAAGGTTGATTCGATTTCCTTGGCAAAGAGTTCAGCCGTTGGGTAGTTATCATGAGCCACTGGCGGGGGGGGATCTTCCCCCAGCCAGGCTTCTCCCTTAAGCTCCTCCTTAGTGGGCCAAACTCCCGGGGAGGTCAAGGTAGGGTCCGAGACTCGCAAGGGGACCCCCTCTTTCAGTGTTAGGGGGAACTCCCAATCAGGGTCACCTGAAAGGGATGGAACTTTGGGCGATGTGCCCTGTGTCCATCTCATGTGCCAGACGCTCAGGGATGTTCTCCATCCACGGGAAGATGTCCAATCCCGGTGACGGCTCCGTTGGACTTGTCAGGGGGGTAGCTGAAAGGCGTTGGCCCCCTTCATTCAGCCCCACCGAGCTCTTGTGGAAAACCACCGGGTCCTGGGATCGGCTGCTTCCTGGGAGTGTCCCTTGGCGTTGCGGTGTGCTGCCAGTCATCCGGCACTCGGGCCTTCTGGGTGCGGCCCCCCGTGTCAGGGCCCTCGGCACCTGCGGGGAACCGTCCCGTCCCCGCCATATCAGGGCCCTCGGCACCTGTGGCTCGGGACTGAGGCGCCGTCGTTGTGCCGGTTGTGTGGCTGTTCTGATCACGGCGAGGGCGTTGTGCACGCTGGTTCTGCCGTCCCCATCCTTGTTCCGCCGAGGATGGCCGCCACTTGGCCTGTCCCCCCCCTGTGTCAGGGCCCTCGGCACCTGCAGGAGGGGGCTTCTGTGCCTGCTTGGGGCGTTTGCGCCCCTTCTCGCCCTTCCGGGCCTTATCCGGGGGGTAGGGGTCAGCGCCCCTAGTCAACCCGGGCAGTCCTGCGGGAGGTGGTCCCCCAGGCAGATGCGGCCCATTGCCAGGATGAGGTTGCACTTGTGGGTGCGGCCGCAGTTGCCCGGGCAGCGCCCGCGCATCCAGTTGTTACAGAACTGGTTCCCTTTCGGGTCGGTGGCTGCCTGCTTGTTACCGCCCCGGGACGCCTGATTGTTCGGGTGGGGGGTCTTACCCTTCCCTTTGTTCCCAGGCTTGCCCTTGGACTTCCCCTTGCCCTTGGACTTGTTCTTGCCCTTCTGAGGTGGTGCGTAGTCCATGGATGTCCTGGTTGATGGGCGGCCCCTGGAAAAGGTCTTGATCTTCTCATAGACCTCACGTGTCCAGAACAATGTGTCCTGCCTGACCGACAGCATGGCCGCCTTGAGGGTGTTGCCCTCATGCATCTTCTCGTGAATCTTTCGCCATGCGTTGCGTTCGGCAATTGCCAGGACGTGGTCCTCTGGCGGGGGAAAACGGCCCCCGATGTCCTCACCATAGAACCACTCGTACCAGCTCTCCAAGTCCTCCCGGGTGATGTCGAACTGGCCGAACTGCGGGAACGAGAGGACGCACATGAGGAGGGTGTTGCGGAACACCGCGTGCATCCTCTCGAGCTGGTGGCGAGTTTTGGGCTCGCCCCGCTCTTCCACCTCATCCTCCCGGTCCCAGCCATCAACCGTGCTCTTCTTAGTGGTCTTCCATGGCCGTTCTCCTGGCTCCGGGAGTGCGCTTACCAGGTATTTCATGGGGATGAAACCGATCTCGCCTCCTGCGCAGAGCTTGAACTGGCGCTTCACCAGCTGGTCGCTTCCTTGAAGGGCCAGCTTGGGTTTGGTGAGCTTGGTCTTCTCCTCCCAAACCCTCTCCAGCTGTCCCCGTTCGCACGAGACCGTGAGATTCGGGGCGGTGTCCCCGGGCGTGTGTGGCCCGGGTCCCGCTGTTGCATGCGCCCCAACTCCCATGGATCGTTGAGCCGCGTGAACCACCTGGAACATGCGGGCCGCGATCAGCCGGGAGGTCACATCCGTGTAGTGGTGGTTGTTGGGGGCGAAGCCCAACTCCCCCGGCGCCGTCTCCCTTGCACGGTCGGGCGAGTCCCACCGGGTCGCGAGGTCCTCCATCGAGACAAAGCCCTCATCCGACAGTGTCGCTTGGATGAACCACGGGATGCCCTTGAGGACCATGAGGTTCCTGGCGGTCTTGTGGAGCTTAGCCACTGCGTCCGTGTACACTCCAGGAACTTCCTGTGGTGGTGCCACCAACTCATCTGGTGTCGCCGCCATGGTGTGGGTGGGCGGGATTTCAAATCAC